TTTCAATGACGAAAAGATTTTTGCTCTTTCAATCTTCCTCGCGAAAGATCACGAACTACCGGTCATTATCTGTAACGACGTACATTCCGAAACAATAGGATGGTCGATTTACATTTCAGAAATTTTCCATTGTTCTTTTCCCCTTTGTTCTCGCATTCGGTGTCTTTCTAATTCATTTATTATTTTCTCCGAGAATATCTCTCAAATCTTTCAAATTTATATCCGGTTTTATCCTCGCAGAAGGATTATTTTGAATAAAAAGTAACGAGTGATCCCTTTAAAATAAAACAATTTATTCGAAAGAAAGATTTTCCACGAATAATGATTTTTCAATACTTGAAAATAATCTTTTCTCAAAAAATGAAATAGCAGGTATCGAGATAATTCATTTTTTGTTATTATTATCAATATTTTATTTAAAACAAACTTGGCAAGTAAAAAATAGAATAATTTCATTCGAACGATGTATATCACCTTATACAATGGCCGTTTTATATCTCATTCATCGAAGAATTTACAATTTCTTTACAATTTATTGGATCTTCGTTCAAGATATTCGATGAAAAAGAGAAAAAGAAAAGAACACGAAAATAATCAACGGCGTTTCAATGAAATTCTGCATTTCAATGAAGTTCTTTTCTTCCATTTGATTATACTCCCCTGGACGAGTAAATTTCCTTCCCCCTTTTCGAATTAAAGTTTAGACGCGAGGTATCGTTATTCCCAGAAATCTAATTATTTTCGCGAAGTATATATAAATATAGTGGATATTAGGAAAGTTGCAGAATTTTACGCGAAACTTTCCCTTGGTTACAATCCTCCATAGTTTTCTTCGCTTCGTTATCGTTGTTTTCCAAAGAATATGATTAACTTGCCGCATTGTTGCGTTCGTTAAGGGAAAAAGAAAGATCGGCGAAAGACGAAAATAAGGGAAAATTGTAAACAGCTTTTTAATCCAAAATTCTGTATTATACTATTTTATTTCTTGGATATCTTGCTACATAATGCGAATTTTCCTCCCATTTTTCTTCCATTTGCACGCCTAACTTTTCTCATCACATACTGTGAAATTTCTTAGATGAGATCGCATCAGGTAATGAGAAATCGGATAATACCTTCTTACCTAACTTCGTTTCAACTTAGCCTAATAAATATGAGAAAACGAGTTGCAAATTGATCGAGATTCGGAGATTGCACGATCCACGAGAAGAATGAAAAGTAATCGAAGATGATTGGACGATCTCTAAATCTTCATTAAGAGGATCGAAGATTTAGTGCTGTTCGAGGGAATGTTATTAAATTGGCCGAATTCCTCGAGATATTTCTGATTTATCGTTGCGCTTTTGCATCCCCCGTTTTGTACCGTTCGTGGTTGCAAGGCTACAGAGGTAGAGATTAATTTACGGAAATTCCAAACCCTTATCCTGAATCCATAGGATTCGTGGAAGATTACGTGGATGCGTAATGTAATAAAATTGTAAAAAGTTGAGTAAGAATCTGATAAAATTGTGCACTGTGATTTAGTTATTAAATTGATACATTGTTGGGCATAGAAATTTATGATACGGATATTTGCAATAATAAGTAAGATAGAAAAGATAAAGTAATTATTTTGATCATAATATATGAAAATAAAACTTTCCGCGAGTTTTCTTTCTATCGGGAAAGAAAAGTCGAGTATTTTCCAACAAAATTTACTTTGGACTGTAATTCTCGATTCTTCGCGAAAAAATAAGAAAAATATATCCAAGGATCGATTATTATTATGATTTACGGATGATTAATAACAGTATTATTATATCGTTAACATCGATTAATTATATGCGAATTTTAAAAAATTGAAGCCGTGATCGAAGACATCATGAAATCACGTATTATTAGAATTTTTTTAAAATTTTACTTCACGTCTGTTTAATCTTGCAAGAAATTGAATAATAGAAGAAATTGAAATCGAAATAGATTCGATTGTACATAAAATTTTCACTGGATGAATTTTAAATAAAAGAATCTTTTTAAATCAACTATACCTTCTAATGGATCGTAACACGAGATTAAAAAATTGATAACAAAGATGCGTATCATTTAAAATAAATCATGACGATAAATATCCACGCTTTAATAATCACACGCTTTAATATGATCTCTAACAATATTCAAACCTGCTCCAAACAACATTGCCATCCAACAATCAATTAAACTAATATCCACGAGAAATAAAGATAATTCAATATTGAAAGTGGCTCGAAGGGATCGGCGCCGATGTTTTTCCCAGGAGGGTGGCAAAAGGTGTTCCATCCACTTTGGGCCAATAACCCCCAGTGTGCCAATTCCCCGAGGAAACAATCCGGCCGACCACGCTGCTTTATCCCGAAGGAAAGCCTTTTGCTCTACATTTAAGCGACGAATGATAAAAAACGGCGCAGTTAAGAGGATGGCTCTCTCGAGGATAAAGAAAGAAGAAACCGCTGAGAAAGAAAAATCCTTCTCTCTCTCTCTAAGGCTTGTACTTATCGCCCCTCGTAGACGAAACAAGTTTACGCCTGGACGCGAAACAGGTCGAAGGATAAACGTCGAGTCGACGAAGGAGTCGAGTTATTCGTCGATAAATGGATTAGTCGAGCGACAAACGAAACAAAACTACGTGGAAGAGTTGGAACGAGTTAAAGGGAGTCGAGAGAATGAAGAGGGAGGGATGGCGGAGAAGGGAGAGAGAGTGGAGATCGCAGTGTTCTTTTTTCTTTCCGCCCCGGTTACTCGATTTCGACGATTTTTCTTTCCTTTCGAATCGAACGGGAACACCGCGTTTCTATGCTTTTTTCATATGCGTTTCTTTTTTCTTTTTCTTTTTTTTTTTTTTCTAAATATATCACGGATACTTTTGAAAGAAGGATATTCTATTTCAGAAGGGAAAGATGAAAATCGCGAGGTCTGTAATAGTAGGAGAATAAATTATATGGCCCCGAGTACAGCTGGAAGGTTCTCCCTCGACGATATCCGTCCAAGGACGAACGAATTGAAGGTTTCAAAAGAAATTTGCAAGAGGAAAAATTGGGAAGGAGGCGTGTGATCCCTCCGGCAATAACATCTACTAGGATGACCTCGATTTTTAATACAGGTCATCTACTCCTTAAACCTGAGATAAAAGCCTGGGCAAAAAATAGAAATTTCTTTCACAGGAGGATAGGCCAGAAGGACATCTGCAAGTCTCTTTGCCCGTTCGTGATTCACCCTCCGGTCGTATATTCTTGCTCGAAGGGTATTCGTAGAAAGCGATCTGTGGAAATCCGTGTATGTGTGTGCGTGTCTGACTCGAAGCCACGACACTGTTGCCCTCTGGTTTGCTCGATTAACACTGGAAGGGATGAATGGGGTGCTGCTGGTTGACGGGAAAAACCGGTGAAAGCGGCGATATTCCGATTACTTACCCATCTTTTGTCACTGTCGCGTGGTTGCGGATTTTTCAGATAACGGCATCCCTGAAGGAACACCCTTGGAATGGCAATTGATAACATCCCCGTTGCACTGGACACGGCTATTTTTCAAGGGGCGGCAAAGGGGCGGGGATACCTCTACAACTACCGATTAATGCTCGTGTCCCGCCTAATTAATTATGCGAACAGATAAAACGGGGACGAATGGCGGCTGTCCCGGATTCTCGAGATCCTATAAATAACAGGGAAAGAGGGTAACGTAAAAGGGGTGGGTTTGGTTTGGAAACGGCGCGAGGGATGAAATAGAGTTGATCTTTTTAGGAATTGTAATCATTTAAAAGGATCTACTTTTAGCGAATCTTCATTATTTTCTGATATACCTTACTGGAATACAAATGGGCAACTTGGGAGAGTTGAAAATATTGCTTCGTTTCCTCGTTACAAGGCTGGATTATACCTCTGTGTATAAATCTGTACATGTAGCGTATTTATGGATACTGTGCGATTTTTGAATAATTCCTTAAAGAATTTTAGAATAATCACATTTTCGAGATCGAGATCCAATTAAGGAATTAAATTAAAATGCATCAAATATAGCTTTCTTCTTCGAGTTAATACAAATTCCCTCTTATTCTCGATTCTCGATATCGAAAAAATTGAAAATTATCGTTGGATTTTCTTGTTGAAAAGACACCTTCAAAGAATTGAATTCGCGATTCCTCTCTGTGGCGAGGAATGTTGACAATAGAGAAATAAAATTTGAGATGTTTCTCGTCACCTGGAAATTCTGTTTTCATTCCACGGAAGCCTTCTCTCGAGCGAGGCGCCTTTGTTCGATCGGATTTTCGGTGAGACGGGAGAATCGACTTTGACGCGTAAGACGCCAACAAATTTCTTTCTCCAAATTTCTTTGGCTGGCGTTAATTTCGCCCTTACCTTAAAAAGAGCAGAACGAGGCACGCGCTTGATAGAGATCGTTGAAGCTGCGAAATACGCGTGGATTTATATACACGTGAATCCTTGACACGATCCTACATGCGGCCTGGCTCGGTTTGAAAGCATCGATCAGCAATTAACAAACGAGTTTGCCTCGCCTCTCGACCATCGAGAGAACTCGAAGAATCCATTAGGTGTACGATGGCCCCTCGGTATGCAAATTGACCGTGTCGAGTAATCGCACTGAAGCATCTTCCACTCTGTGGCCGTGTAAAAAATTGAATAACGAATTTGTAATAAATAAATGGGAATAAAAATCATGGGAGAAAATATTCAGGATATTATTTGGTCGAGAGGGAAGAAATGGTGGATATTACATTTTTAGGGATTATCGTTGTTTGGATTAGGAGAATTAATATTAGAGATGGGGAAGATCGTGCTTTAGATATGATGTACAGAGAGAGCACTTGTCCTTGGTTGGAAAGGAATAGCGGGGTAAGCAGGTTTCCAAGTATATTAGCGCGAAAAGAGTGAATTTTGATCGGGAAATTTTCCGCAACGATCGCGAAAATCATATTTAACCGAGCACTTGGGATCATCGTCTCCGATCTATTTATCGTCGATCGGTTTCAGGTGCTATATTCACTCATGACCAAAAGGATAGCAGTACGGAGTTGGCCTTCAAGTATGCCGTGTACAAGATCAACAAGGAGAGGCTCATACTGCCGAAAACGACGCTGGAATACGACATACAATACGTGCCAAAAGATGACTCGTTTCACGCGTCGAAGAAGGGTAAGTGCAATACATTCCATTTGTATCAAGGGTTGGAGAAAATTTGATATAAATCGAAACGTATATCTATTGAAAAAATAGAATATTTCCATTTAGCAATTATGGAATGAAACACGATTTATATTTATTCTTATTTACAATAGTATGACTTTAATATATTTTTACTTTGCCAATTGTAGTAATATATTTATTATTCTTTACATATTTATACGAAGAAATGTTTATTCGCAAAATTCTGTCGGAAAAATATTTATATCTATTTTCTCCAATATAATTTTTCATGTTGATTTCCGTTTTTTTTTTTCTTTTAAGTTTATTCAAGTTTAATATCGACTCGTTCGTTGCTGTTTATGTCATATTAATACGCGAAAATTTAAAATGCTTAAAGGGAGATGAAAGAGACGAGGTATTAAAAGCAGTTTGAAAATACTTTCTTAGCGTCAGATGAGCTAATAAAGAATGGATCACGATAGCATTATAGTATAACCTGATCAGAGATAATGGGTTTACTCATGGCATTATTAAAGCCTCCCCTTCATCGACTCTCAAATACACGTTATCAGTTAGCCTAGTCCGGTCTAGCTTATAATATCATTTACGTGAAAATTTTATATTCTCCTCTACTCGAATTTTTTTCAAATCGTTGCTCGTGATCGTGTAATTTTTTTCAAAACGACAGAAGTTAATACTATTAAAAAATCAACGATCGACAAATTTTTATTCGAAAACAGTTCGACGTAACCTTTTCTCAACACTGCTTGTCTTCGAAATAAGCTTATCGAGGCCCTATATCGCATCGAAAATTGAAAGACGTACAATCCTATTTCGCGTATTTATAGCTGATCGACACGCGTCTTGCTTTACGACGTCGTAGGTCCCTTTCGCTTCTTCCCGAAGCGAACGGATGCTGCTCGTGATTTTTATTTTATTCGTCAACATAACTGGCAACTGGTATCAATAGAGATAAAACTTCGTGATTCGCGTGAATGGGCTTTTAGAAAGACCCATGGCGAAATTCATTATTTACCTAGTAATCCGTCAGCTGTGCCGTTTTCATCGTGTCCCTAGTCGCGTAAACCTAGTCCCCGTAGAAAATCAGATCAATGGATTTACTCTTTTTCTTTCTATCAGATCGTCGTTCTGTAAACGGATGATCGGGTCCTGGATCGATGTGCCCTGTCCACTTTCGATTCGATTCCCCTTCCACGAGGATAGATTTTTTCCGGATTTCCCTTCCTGCAATGCGTTGTTGTGTTTTTCTTTCTTTTTTTTTTTTTTTAAATCGAACTTTAAACATTTGTCCAGAGAATAGTCCAAGTAAATCTCCAATACGTCTTTTTTTTATCTTTTTATTTTTTTACGAAATATTTTCTCTCTTCCAAATTCTTAAGTGACTTTTATTCCTCCATTGATATGAAAAAAAGACAGAAAAATTTCGTTCGCTTTGAATATCCTTCGAAAAGAAAATATTGATCGAAAATAAGGATCGTTAATAAGGGAAATTAATTAGATCAGAGTCATTCTGTATATAAAATCAATACGCAAATGTTTACGATGAAATGTTACTTGTTCATATAAGATTAAAAATCCTTGACAATGCTGTTCGAACTTGTTTAGTCAGCCAAACTTCTGATTTACGATTATCTCTACAAGGCTGTTGGTTCAGTGGCTACAAGCCAGCAGATACTTGTTCGATTTTAGCTATTTCTTTATGACCATGACTTTTCTCTCGACGATGACTTTTCTCTAACCCTTACTCCCCGATAAGATAGATTTCTTATCACTCTTCAGGTGAAAAAAAAAAAGAATTCAACGTTTCGTTATTTCCATCACCATATCAGATCAAGATAAAGATTATCCCCTTCAAATCTTATCAATTTTCAACTTGAAAATATTGAACAAACTTCTTCGATCCTAGATATCTTATCGACTTTCGATTTTCATCATAAATACTTATCATTTGTCACTTTCAAAAAAATTGCAAGACACTATTGAATCACCCAAAATCACCTTAATATAAAGTACATTTCCTTTAATTTCCCAAATCATCCCGATATCACATTCGACCATCATCTTATCTCTTCACCTCGAAAAAATTCAAAGAAACGCGATTTCACCAGATTGTCCTCGATAAAATAAATTCGAGACACATTCCCTTTAACCCTCGACCCCCTATCAACTCCTATCATCGCTCCAAACGAGGTTAAACCCGACTCGCGCGAGAAATCTCTCGAAACGAAACGGTGTCGTATTCAAAGTTATTGTCCGGAGATATTCGCCAACGCTTGGTTCCCCATTCACGTTCATCTTGCTCGATTCCTTCCGTTTACAAGTCCTATCATCCGCTCTTTAAACGAGGAGAAGGACGAAGAGAGAAAGCCTGTCGGCTAAGATACGCGTTCTCCATAGAGGCGGTTGTAAGGGGACAAGCGAACAACATTGCCACGGCGCGGTTGTATGCATGCAAATGCGCGCATCCGTGGCCAGAGATGAAGCTCGTGCAGAACCGTTTGTTTCGCATAAACGTTATCTGCCCTCGGCCGTCGGGCGTTTTTACATTTTTACGGTTATACGCATACGTGTATAGGATGAACGGTGGCCGGTTATCGGCACAAGAGTCGATAACTGAAACGTGGATTTCGATGCTGGCTTGGTTTATTAGAAAATCTGGTCTTTCTGTGCAAGATGGTTTTGAACGATCAAGGCGCTATTCGTGGAATTTGATTATGACGCGTTGATAATGTAAGACGAGTTTTACTATTCTGAGTAAAAATTGCATTATGATGGTAAGAATCAGTGACTATAAACACACTTAAGAAATAAATTAAGAAATTGTGAAACAGGAAGATGAGTATATAGAGATATTAATCTTATTTAATAATTAGTGAATTGTCACTGTAAAGTCTTGATCTTCTGACTTTAAAATTGGCAGATTGAAAAATTGTTATTTCCTCAATTTCTTCCCATAATTTTTCAAATAAGATTTCTAAACAACTGATACTTTCCAGATTCGATACAGTTTCGATTGTCATCACTATTTTATTCTGAAAATTAATCTCAAAGTTGAAAGTTTCTTCCAGCAATACAAATGTAAGATTAGATCTCGATTTTTAGAATTTTCTAATTTATTACAAAATTATCAGGATTCTGTGCCGCCTAATGAGGAACACGATACGTTGAATGATGGATCATGGGCAAAAGAAAACGGAACTCGGTACAACGTCACGTCTTGTCACGTGTTCAAGAGCACCTCTTGAAATCTCTGTTCTCGATGCCTCGAACGAATAAAGACCCTCCACGATTTCTTCTCCATCTTCGATCTTCCGCACGGAGCCTGTGAACATATATATATATGTATGTATATATTCTCGTATTCTCTCAAAACGGAACTCGACTGTGAACCATTTTAGAACCACCTCGTGTGAATAATCGATTTTAAATTATTTCGTTCGTGTAAACGAATTTTGTTACGACATGATATTTTCTGGAATTGATGTCATTGAAGAATGATGGGAATTTTATTGCAGTCGCAATAATATACCGACGAAACGAAAAGATTAAAGTTCGAGGATCGATAATTTTTCATAATAACATTTCGTAACGAATAAGAAAATTATATTAGTCCTTATAAAAGTAGAAGAGTCGAGGTTTAATTTGTCTCTTGCCCCATCAGTTTTCGACCGATTCTAACAAAGTTACGGAACTTGAAAAGTTTGACGATTTTTCAAACTTTTGTCAAACTCCTAATTCGATGATCAGATACTGTATATAAGAAGGGATGAAGATTGAGCGAATGTTGTGTGCAGAATTGTCTGGAAAAATTCCCTTGGCTGGAAAAAGTAGGAGAAAATAGCAGAAACTGTTAGTGAACTAGTTATTGGATCCCATCTGTTATTTGTTCCCCGATATATCCATTTGCTAACAGTATAAGTTATGACATCGCGCTAGTTTACGTATCACACTACTTTTCCCCTTTCTTCCCAATTTTTCTCTAACAATTACGTATTTTCGAAATTATAGTGATCGCATTCTTAATTTTTCCATTTGGAAAAAATTTTTCTGTGTTCCACCCACGCAGAGGTCATCGAGCGACCGAAATTATCGAGTTTGAAAATTATTTAAAATATTCTTCTTTGTTCTTCCATCGATCATTGGTACAAGTTAAATAATAACACCCTCAACTTTCGAGAAGAGACAATTTTCTGGCGATATAAATTTTATAGTTTTTCTACATTCGTTCTTCCATTTACATTTTGAGAAAGGATATTCTTCCTTCCTATGTCCACTTTCTTTCTACAAAAAAAAAAAAACAACTCGAGACTATCCGTATCAAAAGAATTAAATTCTACGATCGTCGAATTTTTGTATTTACCTTTCATCGACGAGGTAAGTAAAAATTTTATTTTATCGAAGATAAAATAGGAAGTTTGCACTGTTTGCCCGTAGGCAAGGGTATTTCGAAAATCCAGCAGCCGCGGCACAGCGAAATCTGCGAATAATGGAGCCTACTAGCTGGTCTCAAAGGTTTTGAGGCGGAGATTAAACCGAGCATATCCGCCGATCGTATTTCAGACCCGGGTCAACGACGTGCAGCCGCTGCTCTTTTCGCGATTTAAGCTTCGTTCTTGGGCAGCATCTGCGGCCAGAATTTCTGCTACCTCTATATTCCGCTTCGTAATTCTTTATACACGGTGGCCGATCGAAAGTCAGCATTTAGATTTCATGCCGTTTTTAATCCGTTTTCCAATAATTCGTCCAAAAGTTTCAGTACGCGAAAGTAATATTAATACGTTCGAAGATAAAAAGAATACAAGAGTTTGAAGATTATTCTAAAGAGAGGAAAAATAGAATGAAAACAATAATAAGTCGCGCTTCGACAAGCGTTCCACAAGCGTTTCTCTCTCGCGCTGTTCCACGATTCTCTTTGTGACCCGCGAGGGAAAGGAGAAGATCGTTGAAAGAAAGTTTTCTCGAAATTTCGTCCTTTTATTAAAACGCGA